TTCGTGTAAATTCTATAACTTTGCAAAGAAAGGTCATGTAGAGTTGGGAGAGGTCTCATTTTAATCAGAAATGTGCGGGCTACAATCATGCCTCATTTAGAACGGTTCGGGTTATTTTTTGGGGTTTCTGAAAAGCTCGTTTTCTAGAAAACCAGGTCTTCGAAGGGCTATGCGGAAGACGCATGGTCGTATTCGTAATCAGCATGGTCGATAACCTATAACCCACTAGATTCCGAGCAAAAAGCGTTTAATCACTTCGTGGGGTTCCCTCATAAGTTTCTATAGCGAAACCTGTTTACAAATAAAAAGAGGAATGAATATTTCCTGATTACTCTCATGAGCACTCAAATTCTCAATGAGTACTCGCTGAGTACTCGGATATAATATTTTGAGTGAGTTCAGGTTATGAGTACATTCACTAGAGCGGCTACTGTCAGACAAATAAACGTTTCCATTTTAAATATTTAAAAACGGTCCAAAAATTGTCCTAATGGTCTAAAAACGTCCGTTTAACAAACGCTGGCTGGGTGAAGGAGTGTTTTCGGAGATTTCAGGTGAACACTTTTAATAAGTGTTTACTAACTAAGAATACGGAAATTGTGAAATCCATTACAAAAGTACTATATAAGTATCATACAGATCACTGTAATCATTCCGTCATACTCTGCTCAATAAGGGTACTCACTCAGGTTTTAAATGACTTGTTTCACAGCCAATTAGAATGCATGAGCTTGTATTTATTTATTTCATTGTACATATACATCTCTACTCGTATAAATAAATAATTAATGAAGGGAATTAACAAAGACATTGCAAGCATTTCGCGAATTATGACGCTCTTACATAAAAAAGAGTATCGCAATATGTCATTCATTTTTAAGTAAAGGCAAAATCGATGAACAAAAGACTGAAGTATTTCAGAAACGGAAGGATCAGATACTCGTAATTGTATGGACATGTTTACATCAAGTTCTATTTTACCCTCATAGTTTGCTCCAAAAAATATACTGTCAGGTGCACACTTTGTGAAAAAAATACACATTGTTCTTTTAAGCAGCTTTTTAAGGACATTTACAACTGTCTTTCCATCAACTTTTTTCAATGTATATTCGTAATTAATTGAACATTCAATTAAACGATTTGTGACTCCTCTTGCTGATGTTTTTTCTACTTCAAAGCAATAGTAAAAAAATAAGACAACCAAATATTTACTTCTTCGTCCAGACGTCACCTGATTATTTACTTTAGTGTAATAGTTATAGCGTTGAGAAAACCATTTGGCAAACACAACAATTGTTTTTCTTATACATCACGTACATATTCGATTTATTCGTTTTTGTTTTAGATTTGTATTCTGAACGTTGTTTATTTTTGTTTTGCTTAGCACATCTTTTAAATAGCTCTTTTAGATGAAATAGCACTGGAAGTGAAAAATGACCCGTGCTGGCTCTAAAGCAACAGCATCGTCGTTTTCATCAACAACCAAAAATGATGGTTCTAAAAAATCATCAACGTCAAATAAACGAACATATCAGGTAGACTCGTCTGTGGCAACGAGAGCGAATGATAGTGAAAACCAAGTTCCACAAGAAAAAAGCCCCTCGTTTTATCTCATACCTCAATCATTGCAGTCAGATGAACAGCAACAGAAACAACAATCTTCCTCGTCTATAACTATCCGTCATGCACGTTCAAAAATCCGGAAAAAACTTCCGTTTGATACCATTGACGAAGAAAACGATGAAATGACTAGTCACCAACCATCACATAAAGAAAAATTCCAATATTCTCCCACAAGTCAGTTAATATTTGATTCAACAAAAAGTCCACCAGGACAAAAGCCAAGAATTATTTTAAAAATTCGCCTTAATCCATTGAAAGATAATCAGGAACAAACGAGTCCAACAAAAGAATTAGCAAATGAAATAACAGAAGCATTAGGTACAGTTAAATTAGCAAACGATATTAAATCTAGTGAAAATAATAAAGTTGTTTCGTCTCGTATTATACCATTCACACGAAATAAACGGATACAATCGGCAGCAAATGTACCGTTGAGAAAAATACATGGAACACCGTTAAGAGGACAATTTTTACATGCACCAGATATAAAAATAAATGACGACGTTGATAATAATAACGAAATTAATTCAAATCAAACAAGGTAAATTTTATTTTATAGAAGATGCAGCGAACTTTGTTGTTATCACTAGATACGTTTTATGTCTATAATGGGGATCTCTCTATTTATCTTCGTTAACTAGCAAAGGTAATAACAAAGAGAATACGGACTCTATATCTGTATTACAGAGATTCACAAGAGTGCTGCACCTTTAAAGAAAGACTGGAAACAAATCACACAAAGTAATGAGTAAAGCTATATAAACAATGTTACAGAGAGAAATTCACATTTTTATCTTTTTGTTTACAAGTATGTTGTTGAATATTCACATTAAACAAAGTGATCGTACTAATATGAGCAACAAATCGTAAAAGTTTATTCTACTCTTTTGCAGTATGCACAAGTAAAGAAGTAGCAAACGGTAGTTTAATTTCAAGGATGATATTAAGTTGTTGGACATTAGTGTTCCGTTGAGAGTACGAATTTAGCAGGCAGGAAATGATAATCTTTACAAACGATGTGATCCGCTAACCGCTGGACCGAATTAAACAGTTTTAAGTATGTCTTAGAAGTGCTATCAAAAATGACCGAGGCGTATTCCATCAGAAGACAAACATACGTGAGATAGATGTTGTCTCAACTTTCGCGAAACAGCTCGTAAGGTACGACTTATAACACTTATTCTCTGATGGCAATTACTAACTGTTTGTCTTGATCTATTTATCCATGCGTGTATTCAGTCTTCATTGCGTATTTACAATAAAACAAATGAAACAAATGAACTAAAAAAAAGATAAATAACTGTTTGTTCGATATGTTCAGTCCATTTTAAATCGTGACTTAAGACCACATCTAATAACTTAACCTCATTAATACGCTTTAAAAGATCAACTATTATATTTGTTTTCATTTCTTCTGTTCAGTCAACAGCCACTTCCTGCATTATGCGTAAAAAAAACACTTTCAACGAAACAAATAGAAAATTTTATTGACGGTGTTATAAATGATGACAATGATGTTAGTCCATTAAGACGAAGTAAACGATGTGTAAAATTAACAAAATATAAAACAGCCATGAATTTTGATTCATTTATTGATCAAGAATGTGAAGATGGTTTAGAAATACGAACAACAAATGATAAAGGTCGTGGTATATTTTCTACAAAAAAGTTTTATCGTGGTGATTATATTGTTGAATATGCTGGAGATTTAATCAGTTATCAACAAGCAAAACAACGGGAATTAACTTATGGTTTAAATTGTCGAATTGGCTGTTATATGTACTATTTTAAACATGGAGAAAAAGTTTATTGTGTCGACGCAACGGAAGAAACAAATCGTCTTGGTAAGAAAATTTAAGTACTATTTATATAATCGAAAAATCTACTGTTCTTCAAACACTTTTTTCATCCTTTCATCTAGTGTTGAAGTTTAGTTAAAGAAGATATAATAATGTTTTTGAAAATAAAATAAACTTAAAATATAAATCATTTTCTCCCTTTCTTGTTTAGGTCGTCTCATAAACCATAGTCGAAAAGGTTGTAATTGTCAGGCAAAAGTATTTGTGATCAAAGATCAACCACGATTGATTTTGATTGCATCACGTGACATTAATGTTGGAGAAGAATTATTATATGATTATGGTGAAAGACGAAAAGATGTTGTGGATAGTTTTCCTTGGTTAAATGGATAATTACTTTTGATTTTACCTTTTTTTGGGTGTGTATGTATGTGTGTAATTTGCAGTTTTTTTTTTTATGTGTAATTTGTTTATGAATTAATTATTTCATTTATTTACAAACGGCACTACTTTCTTTTGTCTGTCTCTCTTTCCCTTTATTTTTGATAGTCCTTTGTGTTGGGTGTCTCTACGCTTATCAATAAAAAAAAATGCTATTTTTGGACCAGATCTTAAACAAAGAGTTTTTGTTCGAATGATCTTATTTGTTATATATTATTTTTCTTTATGTTCTTTCTTTATCACATATACTTTATTATGCTAGTCATTTTTTGTTTTCATTATGTTTGTTTTTTTGTTCATATGATTTGTTTTTGTAAAAAAAATAGTCTGAATTAATTGCAAAAATATTTCATTGTGGAAAGGAAGGACAAGAAGAAAACAAAAAATATGGTGGAATCGAAATACTGATAGAAAAATTCATTACGAAAAACAAGATATGTTGAAAATGAGTTTGATATGTAATAGTTTGTTTGGAAACACGTGACAAATATGATATCAGTTGCACTCTCTTGACTAAACCATACATCCCAGATAGAACGCTACGCCCGTTGTACGCACACATCACTCTCTGTACGCGAAGTACGCGTGATGTACGTTTCGACTGGTACTTGAACTTGAACTTTATTTACCAAAAATGGAAGGACATGAAAAAATTAGCTAAATAGCTAGTCAATAGAAGTACAATGTATCCTACCCTGTTTGATGCAAAATGCACGAATATCAACATGACGAACGTGTATGCACGGTGTGCGTACCGAGCGTGACCTGATTCTCTCTCTACAGGTCCATAGTAACATGTTTATCTGACATCTATGATAAACCTCTAAAAATGGTATCTGGTGCGTGCGCATTATACGCATGATATGCATTTTGTACAATAAATACGCATGACCTACGCGTACGTTGTGTATAGAGCGTGACGTGCGTGTACGACGGGTGAGAGAGAAAATCAGGTCACGCTCGGTACGCTCACCGTGCATACACGTTCGTCATGCGTACCAATCGAAACGTACGTCGCGTACACAGAGTGACGTGCGCGTACGATGGGCGTAACGCTCTACCTGGGATCATTGAACATGCGAAATTTTTTGAAAATAACTGGTAGGTTCTTGAAGAGTCTATTCTGAAAAACGATAGTTTTATTAGAACAAAAAAAAAAACAGTATTCAACGATATTATTCCACTTTACTGATCTTTGTTTTTTTCATAATTCCGTTTGCAAGATAAAAGGCTATCGGTATTTGTATAAAGTCAGGTAAATATTGTATAGCAAATTGCATAACAGCAGTAAAATATGGAAAGACGATTTCAGCTGGGTTTCCTTTTAAACCATGATAAATATAACTGGCAGCTTGTTCTTGTGTGCACGCTAACGACTTCATTCCTGCTGTTGAACTACTCAACATTGGCGATAAAACGGGACCTGGAGAAACAATGTTAACGCATATCTTATATTTGACTAATAAATGTCTAAGATCAAATCCGAGTGCTCTTACACATTCTTTAGTAGAACCATAGATTGGACTAACAAATGGGGCATGTGCTGCTTGTGATGAAATAATCACTAATTGACCAATTGCTTCGTTGTTTTCTACATTTGTATTTACTTGTTTTTTCCATAAATCAATAATCGGTAATATTGTATTTATAACACCATTAACGTTGATATTAAATACGTTCCGCACTGCACTGTCAAATGATTCTTGTAAAGATAGGTCTCGAAAAGAAACACCAGCATTTGCAAATACAATATCAATGCCATTATATGTATTATATACTTCGTTAAAAATTTTAATCATTTCATCTTTATTTGTTACATCGCATGGTTTAACAATTAGTTGTTTTTCAACAATAGTTTTTTTTGATAATAATATTTGTTGTTTTAAATTTTCTAATTTTTCTCGACTTCTACTTATCATAACAATTGTTTGACAAGATTGACAATTTTGATAATAGTATTCAACAAGAGCTTGACCAATTCCTCAAAATAGAAAGAGGAGCATAGATTTCAATTGCACAATAAAAATGATATTTACAAGTCATACCTTGAGAGGCTCCAGTAATAACAATTGTTTTCGGTTTTTTTGGCGTTTCCAAGTTATCCGGATTATTCTCTTTTTTCATTAGACGTAGTTTGATAAGAAATGAACATACGTAAAGAAGGGGTTGTAGAAACCATGCGACAATTTTAAGAATTAAAATGTTTTTAATCATCATTTACACTATTTGAATCTGAGAATAGAGAATCATTTTTAGTAAACAAATGTTATCTCTACTGTTAGGTCACAGTAGTGCACAGCTGATATTAATTTAATGAAGTTATGTATGTTTTATGCCGATACAAACAAGAAATCAAATATAACATTAGTATTACCCTAATTTTCCGAATCTCTAGCTTGATTTTTGTGAGCAAGTATTTATTTTGTAAACGAAACTAACATATGAAAACTGTACCAAAATACACATATATATATACTACTAAGCTACATCATCTTAGACCACGTCAGATATTGCATCATCTTAAAATATTTCAGAATATCCTATCATCTCCATAGGTCACTCATGACCTAATATTTGTTGTTTATTTATATGTTGAACGCATAATTGAGAAGGCAAACGGCAAGAGATTTAGATCTTGTTTCTTTGAATGGCTTTCTTCAATTTTAATCTGTTATATTAGTACTGTTCCTAATTATAGAGAAATCTGCAGCATGGCGTGCAACTACCACATCGAAAGGACATCTAGTTTTCTTCATTGGTTTTCGGTCTTTTCTGCATATTGTGAAAGGATCAGCTTTCATGTGACCCATCATAGTTGCCGGCTCTTCTGATTTATTGAAGTTTTGTCAATTCTAAATCTTTTATCCTGAATAGTTTCTGATTTTCCCACATCTGGCTTTTTCTAAAAAAGTACATATTTGCATTGGAAAAAAAAGGCTAAACGAAACATGACTTCACATATTCTTTCGCTCTATTATATATGTATCATATAATATTCTGTTCACTGAGAAAGAAGGCACCTGTCACAACTCAGTTCAATCATATATTGGAATAGAATGAAGAAAATTCATTTAAAGTATAGTCACAACCTCCCTTTCTGTCTCTCTCTCTCATTTAAATCTGTTAGTATTTTATACAGATTATATACTTTTTTACGCAATCTCTAGTTGCGACTTCCGTAGAAGTCTCACACGATTCGTGTTTTTAACATAATTTCATTGTGAATCTCACAGAACTTTCGATAAGAAGCCGTATGTAAGACACATTTACTGTTTTATTTTGTCGGACAGTATATAAGAATCATTGATTCTTTGACACTTTTTCAATCTTTTGTCACCTCAGTAAATTATTACTAAGGAGTTAGCTTATATATAAGTTCGACTTTTATTTGAACAAATGATACGACTGACTTAAAGTTAGAAAAACGATTCAAAAAAGTATCGCAAACTTCGAATTTCTCCAGGGCTTATTCATATGAATGTTCTTGTGGGCTTTTCCACTGGAGCGTCAATTATGCATAGAACCATTAACAACAGGGATATTCTCGAAAATAACCCTTCATTAGGTTGAGTTAAAAATGAACAAACTCAAAATGTCATTAAAGAATTTGAATACGGTGGTGTTTTTTTCCTTAAGAAAGACCTTTTTAATAATGATTGAGGGATAAGTAACCGAAATATCAGACTTTCTACTGGAGAGTAAAAAAATAATACAAACATCTCCGTCACCATCCGATATATTATTTGTTACTGTATAGTTATTATTGTAAGTGTTTTTTCTGTTGTAAAGTGAAGAAAGATAGAAAGAAAAAAAAGGTTATTACCTTTTCGTTTTTGAGTTCTTTTAAGTAAAAGACCTCACCGCTTTATCTATTCTAAAAGATTTCTTTCCGAATTGTAGATACTATATTTAATCCTAATTTAAAAACCATTTTCGGACGATTTCCGACTTTTGACGTTTTTCTACTGTTTTGATTAATACTGGTAAAAGACGAAATATCTTAAAGTCTACCTAGAACAGTGATTATCTTTTCTTCTTTACGTATACATCTATCTATTTCTGTTTGTATGAATAATGTTTGTCCGTTTCGTTCTCTGATATCTGTCACTACGGTTACATACTATACGTGTTTATCACGATTATCAATAATCTGTATAACTAATGACTTCTTCATGTATCTGGCTAATTGTGATTGAAAGCATATTAAACTATAAATAGATGATGAGTGCTAAGAACAGCTAATTCGTCTCAATTTAGAGATGAGCGCCCTCTATATTGAAGAATGGTGATCATCTGCGTGTTTTTAATATGGAATAAAGAATAAAAGTAGAAAATAAAATCGCATTTAATTTTTGTTGACTTCGAAAACTTTCATCCAATAGAATTGTATCATTCTAAACTTAAAATTTCTATGGAAATTTACTCGCCTTTGCTAAAGACTGGAAGGATGGAAGACATATGATTGATCGAACAGAAATTTTCAGCCAATCCTACGTCTTGCCTGCGTTACATTCCGTTCTAGTCCCATTTTATAGTAAAATCCAATTTACTTAGGATCGAATGAGTCATCATGTTCTGCGTACATAACACTTAAAGTACTGATTACAACAATAGATGGAAGAGGTAATGCAGGGCCAAAAAAAAGTCGCACAAAATCCGTAACAAAGTCACAATAAAAATGTTTTTTTTAATGTGCACATTGTTTTTGAATAAAACATCTTTACCGTGACATAAAGGAGAAACGTTACTTTAAACAATTTTACCATCAACCTTTGTTGCATTAGTTTTTCTTTCGTGTTGCAATGTCGTATTTTTGCCGTTTCAGACGATAGTTTTCGCGTGTAATCACAACTGGAGCACTTTCTTCATTTTAGTGTCATCATATCCTTTCCGTTTGATGAAGTGTGCGTTTTATTTTTTAGATTAGATTCTCTCATTCAACGTCGCTTGAACTGAATACATTTGTTTTGTAAACTCTTTTTGGGTACAGAAGAGTCCAAGTATCGCAGAATTGATGTGTTTCCATTCCTGTATGGTGCTCGTAATATATATCCTTAGTACAGTTGAAAGAAAAAGCACAGAACAGCAGTCTGGAGAACTGCGTGCTTAGTCCAAGTTTCCGAAGCCTGGGCCTTATTGTAAATAAAAAGCGTTTGTAAAACAGATTTATACATTTTTGTTCACCTTGATTTTTCTATAAACTGCCATGTGTACTGACCAGAAATTCAAGATCGGACCTAATAGTCTTTAAGCCTGTCTTTAAGTAAAGGACTGAATAATAAAAATATAAGAGTAGTGTCTTTTTCTTCTGATAGTGAACAAAGATTCGGATGCACCTACGAAAAATACTACTCATTTTTTGCGAGCATCCAAATAACAGTAGCATCTCGAAATGTCCAGCGCTTTTCCAAAAAATACAAACAGAAAAAATGTAGCAGACAATAGCTCAAATATGCCACACAATAGCTCTGCACGGTAAAGATATGACACACTAAACTGTTTCCTTCAGCAGAATGTGACAGGAAAATGTTGCTGCATGTATCGGTGTAACGTACTTTTATCCCATTGGTCCAGATTAGCTAATAGAAATGATCTCATAGCAATGGGAACTGATACCATAACTGGTAAAAACGATTGTATTAGGAAGAAATTTACCGAAGAAAAAATGTTAATAGTATAACATAAATATAAAGGCAGAGAGAAAACGAGACATCATTTTCCGTAATGTGACGTTTTTCCTCGGACTTTTAATGTTTTTGTCGTTACTTTTTTATAATGCTACTAGCTGTTTTGTGCGAAATGGACTCCCCAGGTTACCAAGAGTATACAGAGCAGAGACCATCGCAGGACAGCTTTTTTTCGTCCTGCCCTGTCAGAAAATTACTCATAAATTTTTTTTGACCCTGCCCTGTCTGGCTGAGCAGGGCGCCCTGCAGTGCAAAAGAAAGTTTTTCTCCTTAACTTAGAAGACTCTATCTACAAGAAACTCATCACAAATAGTGGATGTGTTTCTCATACGTAACAGAATCTTTCTTTTATTAATTATCAGTTTTAGAAAAGTTGGCTGTCATTTTTATTTTCACATATACGAGAGATCTCAAAATTTTACTTAAAAAGAAGCTTTAAAATCTCAAAAATCAATCTGTTGCAGGGCAAACCATGGCATTTTTTGTGCCCTATCCTGCAACAGCACAGGGCAAAAAAAAATATATCCTCCTACCCGGCAGGACAGGGCAGGACAACAGGGCAGCCCTGTCCTGTCAGAAAAAAATTTATGAGTAATTTTCTGACAGGGCAGGACGAAAAAAAGTTGTCCTGCGATGGTCTCTGCTCTGTATACTCTTGGTAACCTGGTGAGTTCATTTCGCACAAAATAGCTAGTAGCATTATAAAAAAGTAACGACAAAAACATTAAAAGTCAGAGGAAAAACGTCACATTACGGAAAATGATGTCTCGTTTTCTCTCTGCCTTTACATACTGCTGACTTCGTTACCCTAGTCTACATCCACGCAAAAAAATCCGCGCTTTTCTGATCAAGGGAGGCCCTAGGTCCTACCCAGGTTTTTGGCTTTGCGTCAGTTGTTTTGTCATCACTTTTCGTCGCTCAAAAATGCTGTATTCCACCCTTTTTGCTTTAGTAGAGATATACCCGAGCGTCCAAAAACTCCTGATGCACTACCAACTCGACAGAATGCAACGTACAAGTTAAAAATACCCTTTTCGTTTTCTTGTTAATCACTTTTCGCCAAAATTCTAGTCCTCCTGGAACCATCGGGATACTGTTCCTTGGTAACAGGATTATTCAAAATTATTCTTACAGGATTATTCAAAAATCATGAGTTTTTCGAAACAAGATTTTGATGGAATAATCTGAAAAACTCTGCAGGAAGTCCGCAAAATGAAATTCTTCAGGATTTCTCATTCTGCGAAATTTCCGAACATTTTTGCTCGGTATAGTTGACTAGTTTAGCGACAATATCTGGTATTGTTTTAATTCATCTTTAAGATGAAAAAAAAGGTGACAACGAGCGATTTATTGATACATTTTCCCGATTTGAATGTTTTCTTTTGCTTTCCTTGTGAAAGATGAAGTTGTAAATCTTGTAAAATATCTGCTTTCTTATACTACGAACTTGAAGTACAGTAAAATAAAAAATTGTTTTATTATGCAGCAGTGACATCTATCGATAACTGTTGTTTATTTGTGTTTTATTTCGTACTACCGAAAAGATAAAGAAGAATAAGATGATAAATTGACATTAATTTTAGTTAAAGTAAGAAATTCTACTGCTCGGCGTTTTCTATAAGACCTAAGCGATAGGCCTTCGTTTTATCCTTAATTTACCATCTTCTCACTTTCATTTGTTCGAACATATGATATTAACAGTTATATGTACATGTTTGTTTGCATTTGTCCTAGATATTCTTCCGTGGCGATGTGCACCGTATGAACAACGAGTAGTTCATAATTTGGACGATATTGTGCATAGAATTTAAAACTTATAATTTTCTCAGATCACTAATAAATTGTCTACCATACTTAGATAATTTTGTCTTTTGTGAGCTAAGCAACCAAAACTATTTATAAGTACACTGAGTTGACTTTCTCTTTGCTTTTTTAACAACTTTTAGTGAAATTTTTCTTTTACACAATTATTTTTATATTTCTTGTTATTCTTATTTGTAGAAAATAACATTTTATTCTCTTTAAATCTTTTATCGTGCCAAAATGAGTACAAACGGTTTAACAACAACAACTGCCTATTATCAACCAACAAATTTGAAAACATTACATACGGCATCAAATTCACCCTCAGTTAAAGCTTTGTCATTAGAATATCAAAAATTATTAAAGGAACCAGTTGAAGGTTTTACGGTGAAACTTGATGATAATACCAATTTGTACAAATGGCATGTAGGGTAAGTTTGAGTTAAAAAAACAGTATTTCGAATAATTTTACATATCATCTATTGTTTTGTCAGAATATTTGGCCCTCCTGACACGTTGTACGCTGGTGGTTATTACAAAGCTGATATGGAATTTCCAACCACTTATCCATTTGCTCCGCCAAAAGTAAGTCTCTTTATTATCCAGGTTTTGCTTAAAGAAAGATGAATTCAAACAATTTTGAACGAACTGAAAGCAGCTTTATTCTTCATTTTGTTTTTATCCATCTCTTTACTTTTGTAATCTTCATTTGTTTCTTTAGGTTCGATTTTTAACAAAAATGTGGCATCCAAATATTTACGAAAATGGGGAGGTGTGTATTTCGATTTTACATCCGCCTACGGAAGATCCACAGTCTGGCGAACATGCATCTGAACGTTGGAATCCAACACAAAACGTTCGCACAATATTAATGTCCATAATTAGTTTACTAAATGAGCCAAATTGTTCATCTCCAGCTAATGTTGATGCAAGGTAAGACATGTTTGTATATCTATTTGCATTGATTCAAATTAATATTGTGTAGACAACATTTCAATTTGAAAAATTGAATAAGTTTTTATGGAAAGAAGGTGGTTTTCATTCGTTCTTAGAAAGTCTGTCCGACAAACTATGTTGAGTCTTTTGAATACGACGAAAGACCATCGTGTACTCTCTATTATTTTATACAACTAAAGAATATATGCTGTTTTTTCTTTTAGTGTTATGTACAGAAAATTTAAAGAACATAAAGATCCTGAATATGAAACTATTATTAAGAAACAAGTAAATGATTCGAAAATTGTTGCCGAACAAGAAGGTATTACTATACCAAAAACATTAGATGATTATGTTGCACCATCAAAACTAAATAAAAAAACATTGATAGGAGGCATTAGTCGAGATGATGAGGATGAGACAGATTCGATGTTGGGTAGTGAAAATGGAAATAATTTGTCGGAAAATGATGATGATGAAGAATATATGGAAGACGAAGAAGATGAAGGACGATAAAAAAATTGAAAGTAAAAAGTGACTAAGAAAACGGAACACGAGTTTTTTTGCTATTACTGCTTCTGTTGTTATAGTTTGTTTATTATTTTTGTTCTATTGACATACAAAGACACTAATGCGATTTTGCAGGACACAACGGCTTTTTTTCTGTTTATTTGTACAGAATTTTTTTTATAATCATGAAAGAACAAACGTTTGACTGCCGGTAGAAACAGTCGAGGTTAAAAATATATTCCGTCTCATATTCAATTAACCGTGAGTTAGAGTTTTGCTTGTTTGACCATAACATGCATCTTATATTCTTCACTGAATATTGAATAAGATCACTACATCGTTTCATTGGGTAATAAGAAGAGTCTCTTTTTTATTTATTTTGATAAAAAAAGATGTACTCGACGTCCAAAAATGAGAGACTTTAGTGATTTTTCGCGAATAACAACGTACTCAAAATACTGGTGTTCATTCATTTGTGTTTGTTATATTGTATACGTTATACGTGTTGCATTTTTGTTTTAATTTATCAATTGCTCATCCTGTTTGTGTTTATTACATGCATTAATATGTGGCATTCTTTTTCATCTACATTTTTTTGATTCTATTGCCCTTCGAATAGTTAAGGTCTGTATGTCCCTCCGTTATCTAATCTATCTTGGTGCAAACAATACAATAATATATTGTCGTTCTTCTCTACAATTTATTCGTTATTTACAATCAAATTATCTTCATTCTTTATCCTGATATAGAGAAAATGGTGAGCACTGACCAACTGATATTAAAACGAACCACCTTTACGAGTTTTTTTCAAAATGAAATATGTTTTCACGTTTCTTTTTTGTTCTGATATGACTTTTTTTTTATTTCTTGTATATTCGAAAGCTAAATACAAATTAAATAACTAATAATAAAATGATCTTTTTTTTGTTTCGTACTCGGAAATATGTACTCGGACAGTAAATTATCAACATTTCTCTGTTTGATTTTAGATGTGTTCTACTATTTCATCACCTAATCCTTCAGTTCTACCAACGTTCACTTGCGAAAATACTACTGGAGAATGTCAGATATTAGCCACAGATATTTCTCTATGTCCCAAATCACCTACAAAACGTCCTTGTCGTGATCAGACTGAATTAGTAGTTAATAAAACAAAACGATTATGTAACAGGTAAGAGAGTCAATTTCACTATCGTAGCACAGTGTAGTTGTATATTTATTGTTTATAAATTTGTTATAGTACACGAACATCCTTCTCTGAATTAATAGTTGATGAATCAAAACATCAAAATTTTGATAATTTTTCACAACAACAAATAACAATCTCTACACCATCACCGTCACCTTCACCAACACCAAGTTCAAAAAAACCTTCATCATCCATTCTAGAATGGATAGCACAATTCAATCAAATGACGTCGGATGATCGAACGTCAGCCATTGACTTATTTATTCAAAATTGTTCCAGTGACACATCACAATTAAAATATTTACGTAACAAAATCGAACCATATTTTCAGCGTGATTTTATTCAAGATTTACCTAGAGAGGTAAGTACAAACTAGGCAAATAATTTTATCGCAGTAGTCCCGATTGGAGCTGAACACGTAAGAAAGTATCATTTCTATCGTTTTATAGGCGTTCTTTCTGTGAGTTGTAATAATGACAAAAGAGGCTTGCAAAGACTGCCATATACCATCTTGCCTGACTATATTTTCCTTAAGGATAATGGGCACGGCTTTTCACAAAACGCAGTATTTAAATTGAGTACGAAAACGAAACTAGTCTTCGGATCTCGCACATTTTCCATAAATTTATGTTTTCTTTTTTTAGCTTGCATTACAAGTATTACGATATTTACCAGCTTCAGATTTATCTCGAGCATCACGTACATGTCGTGTTTGGAATGAAATAATTAATGATGTATTATTATGGAAGCGTTTATGTCAAAGTCAACAAATACAATATAAAGATAAACCGTGTATATTTGACAACCTAATTTTAAATCCATGGAAACGTTCCTACGCCTGTTATCAACATTTAAAACATACATGGAACAAAGGACAGCTACCACGCTCAAAATATTTTCGAGGACATGAAGGTAAGCAATTTTCCAATTTGTTTTTGTTCACTCTAATTAAATTTATGTTTTTAATGCTTTAGATTTTGTTATCACATGTTTACAATTTGATGGAAAACGTATTGTATCTGGTTCAGATGATAATACATTAAAAATTTGGTCAGTTGAAACAGGCGAAGTATGTGTAATCGAATTTTTAGTAAAATATCACACTGCTAACTGAGATCTTCTTTCTTAATTTAGTGTGAAAAAACACTGACTGGTCATAATGGAGGTGTATGGTGTAGTGAAATGACAAATGATTTAGTTGTGAGTGGAAGTACAGATCGAACAATTCGTGTGTGGAATGCTGAAACGGGTGAATGTAAACATGTTCTATATGGACATACATCAACTGTTCGATGTCTGGCGTTATATAAAGATCTTGTTGTATCGGGTTCACGTGATGCAACTGTTCGTATCTGGAATATAGTTACAGGTGAACGATTGCATACCCTGAGTGGTCACACAGCGGCTGTCAGATGTGTTTGTTACAATGGAAAATATGTTGTGTCAGGTGCCTATGATCATACAATACGTATATGGATTCCAGAAAATGAACGTTTAGTACATGTGTTAGAAGGACATACAAATCGAGTTTATTCACTTGTGGTGAGTTTATTTAATTTCAGACTTCTTTCAATATGCATGTTACTAATTTTTTGTATTTTAGTTTGATGGTAAGCATGTTGTTAGCGGTTCATTAGATTGTTCTATTCGCGTATGGGATGTTGAAAGTGGCACATGTTTACATCATTTAACTGGTCATTTATCATTGACGAGTGGAATGCAATTACGTGGAAATATTTTAGTCTCAGGAAATGCTGATTCAACAGTTAAAATATGGAATATCGATTCAGGAAAATGTTTACATACTTTATCGGGTTAGTTTTCTAGCTGTATTTTGTGAAATATCCCCCTCAATTTAGATCGTTGAAAGATGGAAAGCAGCAAGAATTATTCATTGACACTGCTTGAAACTATTGTTATCTTTATTGTTTTTATTCTTATTGTAGGTCGCAACAAACATTTGTCTGCTGTCACATGGGTGCAAGTTATATTAAATTATGTTGTTAGTTCAGGTGATGATGGTACAGTTAAAATATGGGATTTAGAAACCGGCGACTTTATTAGAAATTTAGTGGAATTAGAATCAGCCGGAAGTGGTAAGTTCTGACCGACAGCATTTTTCTAATTAAGTCATTTCTCCTCAAAGAATGAAAATATATTCATGTCGTTCTATTTACTTCACAGTAAACACTTGTTTTCATTATTTTCTGAATAAAAACTAAAATATTTATTTGGTATCTATCGTTACATATGACCAGGAGGTCTTTCAAAATATTTCATAAAGAAGATTTACTTGAATATACTTGAGTTTTTATGCCACTAATCTGGGAGCTAAAAGGCGAGAGATTTATAAACATTAATTTCTTCACCAATTTTTCTTTTAGGCGGTGTTGTGTGGAGAATAAAATGCACAAATTCTGCACTTGTTTGTGCCGCCGGTAGTCGTAATAGTACAGAAGATACCAAAGTTATTTTATTAGATTTTGATCGTACAACATCGCTGAACAATGATGAAAACAGTAACAGCAATACCAGTTCTTTGAGTACCATGAACTCCACTTCTAACATAAATCCTCTTCACAAAACTGATTGTAATTTAGATGATGAAATGTCAGTAGCAACAAATCATTCAGCATCTTGTTCGCCTAGTATATCGTGAATATAAATATAAAAAAACGATGAGAATGGTTGTTTGTTTCTTGTTATTCTCAAATTTATTCTGTATGTGTGTGTCTGTACGTGTGTGACGGTGATTCTGAAAACGACTGTCGTTTTTTAACTCAAGTTTGCCATGTTTTTGTTTTTTACACTTGAAGAATTCCATTTTTCGCATTTTTTTTGTCTCTCTCTCCTCTCTCTTTCTCTGTCTTTCTTTGCACTGCTGTTGTTATTATTAATATTATTGTTGCGCGCGCTCATATGTATAGTTAAAAAATATGTTTGTGTGTGCGTGTGTGTATATATATTAATCTATAATTACTGGCAACACTGATAGAATTTTTTTCTTCTTTTTGATTAATACAGGACTTTCTTTGCTCGTCGGTTCGATTCTCTTACGTGTTCGATCCCCTTATGTATCTGATATATTGTTGTTGGTTTTTTTCTATTTTGACTTCCGGTGAGAGCAACAGATCTTAAGAACAAAACACTTCTTACCTCCTGCTTTTCTGCCTGTTTAAGATAGATAATTATTCAGATTTTTTATTCTTTTTCTCGAAACTAGAACAAAACAAAACAAATAGCTATGATGTTTATTCTTTCTCTATTTGTATGTTCTTGTTGTTCAAACTTGTTGCTGATTATTTCTGTGTTCTGTTCGATTTTTTATAATGCCATTTTTCTGTTGTGTATTCTATTAAAAATAAGAAAAAAGTCATTATCAACATATTTATAGTAAACATAAAACAGAAATAAAAATATATCTTAGTGTAATGTGAAAAATTTTCAAGATTTCACAACTTTTAAGCTTGTTTTTTTGTTCTGTTGCATATATAGATAATTTAAACCAGGAAGTGTTAATTAAAAACATCAATCATTTATCGTTATATTAATCATTCGATACTTATCTTTGATCAGTAAAGCTAAATCTGTTAATGTTAAATTTTTGAGTTCCTGATATAATTTGATAATTACTTTATTTTATTACATGATATATGAACTTTCTGCATATTTTGACTTAAAGTATGTGGAATAATCACACTTATTTTGTATTTTACTTCGAAAATAAAATCGATAAGTTAATTTAACGGCAACACCAGAACCACTCTGAAAGCTGTCTAATTATTTGGTGATGCAGAAGAAAAATATTGTTGATGAACAATGAGCAAAAATGTAGCCTCGGAAACACATAGCAATGAGCATGATAGGGAATATGATGTTCGGTTGAGAGAGCCTGTTCCATTCTTTAATAGCAGTAGGAAAGAAAGAATGGTTAAAAAAACTACTTTTATCCTTAAAATCATACAGCGTATTTGCAGTATTCGATCTTAATCCATAGCGAGCGTTAGGTAACGTGTACTGGAGGATCGAATGATTTACATGACTAAAACCCATAAGAATCTTATAGAATAGGCACATTCTATTCACATAAAACAACTGTGAAACTGTTAACCATTCTAAATCCTTCAAGACCTTATCTGCTGACGACCCTCGCATAGTACCTGTGACTGTTAGTGCAACTTGGAATTGAATCCTCTCCAACTTTTTAATATTTTCTTGCGTAGTTTTTCTTTTTTATAAACTTTTTATTGATAAATAAGAGAAAAAACATAAGTAAATCGTATCATGCTATCGGATGCAGAGCGCCCATCGTAAGCAACATAAAAAATGATAAATTCCAATGTTTGAATAATAATATCAAGTGAACAAAAGACAAAATAGAAGTGGGTAGAGAAGACATTTTCCATTATTTACCACACTTTTAAGCATACCTGAAGACAAAAGAAAAAACAACAAAATACGCATTTATGTATAAGAAATGAAAAATTGATAAAGAAGAAGAGAGAAAGAAGTATTCAAGTTGAGAGGCTATAGGCATATGACGTTGTCTATTTTTTCACTTGTCCTATAACGAGTCGTGTATTTTCTCTCATCGAAAAGAAGTTATTCATATTACTATCCTGTTGAAAATAATGCATATCGATAATAACATCATTATTATCATCTTGGAAGAGACATGTAAGTCACTTAACTTTCAACATAAATCAATAAATCAACAGATAATTTTCGAAATTTCCTAAATAATCTGATTGACACATATAAAAAAATGAAACTATTTCCAAATAGTTCAACCTATTTTTTGCGTAGTGAATTTAATGTAAATTGAAAAGAAACAAAAAGTGAAGAAGCATTCATAGCTTATAGTCTTTTTCTATGTAATTTTATAAAACCGAACATGAGAAAAATCATTTATTGTTACATTCATCTGTTTTCTTTGATTGTAGAAAAGATAAGGTGTCAAACAACGGGTTTGTTATATCTACCAATCAATCACATTAGCATGAAGTTGAAAACAAATTGGTATCTAACTTACTAAATTTCTTTCAAATGTTCATTGCCTAATTGCGAGTTTTGTTTATCTTAAAGACATTTAAAAAGACACTAAGGCAGTTCAGGTACAATTTGAAGGTACATATGTATACAGAGACACACAGAAGAATCAGATGAAAAGACAAAAGAAAGAAACAGTTTGAGTTTAAGGGAATAAAAACGGAAAATTAAAATGTTTAAGGCCGGGAATGACCTTTTTAGAAAAATTTGCAATTGTCTGAGGCGATTATCACCTCTTTGTACGCGGGACACGCTAATTAGCCCTTTTTAAATAACTAACAAAGATAGAGATCTGGGGTTTTCAACAATCGAAAGAGAACAGTTTTGCCTATAGTTTCTTAAGCAAAAGCAAATTTTTGTAGACTTTTAACCCTGAAGATCGAATTGTATGAAGTCGGGTTTACCAGATCAAGATTAGGACATTAAATTTGACGTTTTTTTGTTTCTAGACTCAACTTTGAAAAACACTTCCTTCACAGTGAAATAGCGAAAAGTAGGCCGAGTTAAGTCCAAAGTTGAGTCTAGAAACAAAAAGATGTCAAATTTAATTTCCTAACCTTGATCTGGTAAACCCGACTGCATTAAAAAAATGATTTTCGAAAAAAAAATGCAAATCTTGGATTTAGCAGGCATTATAAAAGCTTCTGTAAAAAATTGAAGGGAAGAAGAACCAACTTGGACCTTATACCAGAAAATGCACGCGAGCCAGGGCTTTGTATTAATACTATGTCGATCTTCAAAAAGTGTATGCCTCTGCCCAAAAGATTTCATACATTGAAAACCATCGTAAATATTATTGATGTTTTGGTCTTAAAATTGATATTTCTCATTTTTATTATGTCTTTTTGTAAAAATAAGAGGATATTCTTGATCCTCGGACAAAGCAGAATTGAATGGTATATTATACGAATATAGAAAAAGAAAACAACAATCAGTCTTGGACTCTCCATATAAAAGGTTCATAAACAATTTTGGAAACCTATCTAGTTTTTTCTTTGAAGAGATGAAGCTGATTTTTGCACTTCAGTAGAACGGCCATTGAACGAGTTACTAACGAAAATAGAATACCTTTAGGGTTTTATGACATTGACAAAAAACCCTTTATTTTCTTAAAACACTTTCCCGAAAAGTATTTTAAAAAACCAAAGCGGTTTAGTAACGATATAAAACCCTCAAATGATTTCTCAAATGTGCTACTATACCTTTTGGGTTTAGAAACAGGAATAAAAAAATCGTTTGGGTTTTTTAAACTGCCTATTTTTTAAGAGTACAGTATTCTGGCTTTTACTTTGATAACTAAGATAACTGTACAGATTTAAACTCGCCATCTAATTAAGTTCGAAGCGAAACATAAAAAACTAGTCCCTTTGCATGGTTAACATTACAAGATGAATGAACCATGTTGATTAAAATATAAAATTAGTTTTCATATTTTATCGCATAGTCTATTCTCGTATATAGAAAAAAAATGAAAAGCGGTCAGATTCAAAGAAGGAAAGACTGAAAACGATACGTTTGATCTGTATAATTCAACTTTTGTTTAACAGTGCTACGTTCAACAAGAATAAACGATACTCACTTAGTGCAGCCTGTAAAAATCTTTGGAACCATTGAGACTACCTTGTACATGTACAGCTGTTTTTAAGCAATTTTGTATTACTTTAGTTAAAAATAAGATGGATTGCGAATTAACAACTATTTCGCTTCAATTGGACTTTAAGAACAGAGTAAAAACATGAAAACACTAATCGATATTTTTGACTTTTGTGATCGAGAAAAGAGAGTGAAAAGGAAGCGGGCCAAACATATCTTTGATGCCACTTTGTAGAGCTCGATGAGTACTACAAATGAGAAAAAAACAAAAAAATTCTACCGTGTAGTGTTTGTACTGTGGGACGTGAACGTTGACTGTTTTTAAAAAGGGGTCTTCAAAGATGGGCTTCGTACTAAAAGACGAAAATAGATATCGACCTTATTCGTTTTTCATTGGATTAATCAGGTCTTTAGCTTCATTTATATCTATAGTGCAAGAAAATTTTCTTTGTTGGAAGAACTGGTAAAAAGGATACGTATGATCCCCTCATCTGGAAATATTTAATTACTGTTTGGTCATTAACGAACTTTGGTAGTCATTTGAATACGCGATTAGGATTCATTTCTCCAATTTCATGTTGTCGTTGTCGATATATAAAATAAATCAAAAGTGTGAAAAAGATTCAAATTTATCTATAGAATACATAAATGAACGTGAAAAATAAAAGTTCTGACTTGCGATAGCAATTCAAAATAAAAAAAACATTTGTTTTTCGACACTACTGGTTAGATCGAAAAGCAACTGAAACAATATAAATTTTCGAAGAGAGAACTTCGGAAAAATAAAAAATGTGTACAGTGAAAATAAAGGCTGAGCTAGTTTTTTGCGTCTTTAAGAATTAAAACGGTTTCCCCTGCAGGATGGAACTCAATCGGCGTCGTCAGGAAAGCAAATAAGTTTTTGAAATTCAGATGTCAGAAAATAAAACTAGAGCTAGTCAAGTCAGGTCATTTCTAGTACGAGATTTTCGTTTAAATTAGGCATTTTTTACCATGAAATAGTTTCTGAAACTATAA